TGTGAAATGACATTTTCTCCTCATCATAACTTGAAATAATCAGCCTTAACCTCCTGAGAACCGAGGAAGAAAAGTGCAGTCTCCACTTTATCTCAGCATGAGAACTAAGTTCCCCTCATCCCACCCAAACACATGAGACATCATTGGAAAGGCCGGGAGATCCTCTACTGAGCACATCAGGACTGAGTAGGGTGGCTTAAACGAGTCCGAAGATATGGGTCGAAAACCAGTGAATAGGCTGAAGTCACCATTAGTGTAGTTAGTAGCAGTAAATGATAATTATAACATCACTTGTTCCCTTGTTCTCATTAGACAAACCCACGGATGCGTCAAAGCCACCAGAGGTTACTACTCTGTGGTTAGTGTTCAACAGTTACAGCTGTTAGCACAAACTCGCCTCCACCGAACAACTCACTAATCTAATGAAACACACTGATCCTGTTACGAACGCTAAGCTTTAGCAAATTAAATTGTCTAGTTGTCATAAATGTGATCATTCAGGATTTCAGCAGTTTTCATTGATTTCTTTTTGGTCGTTTGTTCTTTTGTCCCGCAGGAATATTTCACAAAAAGATCCTCGAATACCAGGAGAAGAAGAAAAGGGACAAGACAAGGAAACACTAGCTGGCAGGTGTCTGGGTGTACTTAGGAAAACGTGTGAATGTTACACTGTGTTTTTAATGTCCTGTGTCTGTTTGGTTTTAAATAATTATGTACCAATGTATGAATTACTGTACGGTCGTGTTGCTACTTATTCACGGTGTGAAACACTTGCAGAAATTAAAGACTTTCAGTTCCCTGTGCGGGGGACCACAGTCTGAGCAGGAAAATCATTTCAAATAAAGACTAGTTTTTTAAGTTCATCTGCTTACAGTCTCGGCTTCTTTTTTTGGCCAAGTGAGTGGAAGGTTTTTGTGTTCGGATGTTGTTTTTATTGTTTGTTTTTTCATTTTTTTCTTTAAATGTAAATGATAAATGTGCTTTCTTTCCATATACAAAAAGGCAGGGGATGCAGCAGAGTAGTCACCTCCATTTCTCTTCCAAAATAAATGACATAAATGTGTTTGACTTCTCTTTTTGTGAATGTAGTCTAACTGCCACATTCCCTGCTGATACCATACAAATGAAAGGATGGAGTATATACATAGATTAACCTCCTGAAGGACCTCAGACATTAAATACATGTGACAGTTTAATTTTTACCCAGACACTCAGAAACCAACCAGTGCTCCAAAGCTAAAGTTATGAGTGGATGAATCTGTTGGCTGTTGATCAAAAGAAAGAAAGAAACTGATTAATCGCTTGAGGAACTCTTTAATCAACAATGCCGAAGCTTTACTGGTATCAGCTTGAGCCTAGTTTCCAAGTTTTCTACGATGATGAGCATCTTTTTTGCAGTTTTCTGACAGTTTATATCTGTAAAGAAAAATAACTAAAACATATTGATAATTAACCCTCAGCGCATGCGAGGTTACAGTAGTTGGTTTGTGTGCCTGTTATTTACCAAATAACTTGGGAACGGTTAACTTTCAAGGCCTGGAACTGTAAGGGTAGACAGGAGAGCCCATAACTTACATCTGCGACTGGTGGATTTTGCTAAAATTGCTTTGTTCACAAGTTATGGAATGATTTGTACTTTATTAAACATCGCTGTTGGTTGTAGCATCACAGTTTGTGACTGAATAACACAACGTCAAGGTTAATTACTTGACATTAGAAAAAGTGAAACTATTGTGATGAAACAACTTTACAAAAACTAGCATGAGATTAACTCCAAGGTCTTCAAACTGTCTTCCTTTAGCTGAGCTTCAGCAGTGCAAATGTCGTGATTAATCAAATTATTTCAATTACTCTTTGGCCACTGCCCACTTTGCATCGTTGCGTACTTGCTTACGGCCCTTGGACAAACACCCAGCACTCTCAGACTCCAAACAAATGTGTCTAGTGACCGTTGCTGGAATGATACATGCACACAGGGTTGCTGTGTGTGGCAACGTGATGAAATACTGATGGAATGATGTGATGCACCTTCCTGCTAAAGGTTCACGCTGCTGCTCTGGTCTACATGTGACACTAAGATGTACCACGTCCATGTTTCTGATACCAATCTGGGCTGGGATGCCTGTAACTTATCGATAAAATCTTAAACCTTCCTTACTGCACGGGACTTCTGACAGCTGTCTCACTGCATTTTGGAGGCTTTCTGTGAGGCTGTTCCTTGACCAGATTTGGGCCTTTCACAACTGTATTACCGTGTTTCCCATTATCAGCCATCCTTGATTCAAACGACTGTCACTTAATCCGCTACAGAGCTTCATATGTCCGTTGGTATCATCTCACAGCTTCCAACATCGCCTCTGTTAGTGCTTCTTTCAAAAGGTGAGCAAGTCCTGCACTCTCCATGTGCTGTCCAATAGCTTCCAGGAAGCAGATGTGGTTTCATCGCATTAGAAAGACAACAACTTGGAGTTTGTCTCTGCTGAAGACCTGTTGATTCTCTGTAGCTTACAGGTGCTTCTGGCCTACACAATGTATCTATCAACTGATAAAACAATTTGGTTTTATGAGCATCTTTAATCAAAAATGACCCTATTACAAATGAAATAAGGCAAAACCAAAATTTCATGTGTTGGTGACCTTAATGTCCTTAAATTGACCTTCACATTTGAATTTGGCAATGACATCCACCCTCATCGTTTTTATCTTCCACCAATTCAAAGGTCCTGCCTGGATGCCTGCTACTAACATGCAATGTCATAAAAGAACAATAAAAATCTAAAGGACTTCTTTATCTTTGGCTGGTCCATTAACAAGGACCTGCACTGATAGGAACGCACTTCTATGGCCTTGTATTAGACCCTCTTTGTCTAGATGGCGCCAACTACCGCAATGGATGATCACTAAAGTGCCCGACTTACAGTTTTAAAGGAAGATTTCACTTAAAATATACTTTAAAATGTTTTTTCAATGACTATTCCACAGAGAGTACAACTTCATGTCCAAGTACCTCTAATATTAAAGGTTTATTCCACCCAAACAGTGCTTTTTCCCTCACAAGTTAAGGCTTGAAAGGTTTATTCAACCCAAAGTACTACTTATTACAATAATGATGATAACTTGGTTACTAAGACTTGCATTTGGACGGATTGTGTAATTAGTATACTTATGTCATTATTATGTAAAATAATAATAATAATAATATAATCATATGTTGTGGCCTCCGCGGTCTCTGGATCTCAACCAGGACGATTTGAAAGGTTGGAAAGAGATGAAACACAAGGACAACTTTGGAGGCAGACATATGTTTGTATTTAAATCAGTAATAAGTCAATAAAAGCAAATCGTTGATTTTTACAGCAGTTTTCATTAAAGCACAACCGTTTGCAGTGTTTGATGACGAGTTCAGACAGTTTGTTTCTCAGCTGCTCAGATGATGACATGAGAACTGTTTATAAACAACAAAACAATTCACAATCATTACTAATATTGTGACAATTGTTCATCATGGTGAGAAATGCTTCTACTTCCTCTGGGATGCAACAGGTCCTAGAAGTGGAGTCCTAGAAGTGGAGTCCCAGAAGTGGAGTCCTAGAAGTGGGGTCCTGAGAGTGCAGCCTCCAGCTCTGCAGACATATCCTGTTCATTATTTGTGACAAGGTGCCTCCTGCTGGCCTTGAATTAAACTTTAATGTTGTCCCTCCAAAGACAGATATTTCTAACAAGATTCTGTATCCTGAACCTGCAGTACCAAATGGGAAAATGTCTTTCTTTTATCTCAAAAAAAAAAGAAAAAAAAAGAGGTACATAAACACAGGATATTACAGAGTTGTTTTCAGCTGCTCAGTTCTCTGCACGGATGCACCTTTAAATATTCCCAGAATTTGCAGTTGAGCAGCTTTTCCTCCGGGTTTGTTTTTGTCACGTGACCGGAAGTGTGCGTTGGAAGTTTAACGTTAGTCGGAAGTGTGTTTATTTACGAAGCAGCTCAGCAAACCTGTGAGGTCCTGAAATTCGTCCCGTTGTCCTGCGAAAATCGGCTGTGTACTCCGCGAACACGAACGCCGCAAGTGTTCGCCTGCTTTTAGTCCGGTTTTACCGCCAGCGGTCCCTGTTTGGTTGTGAACTCTTAGCCGTCGTATGCTAGTTTGTAGCTAGGAGGCTAGCTAACAGGGCTGACAACCTTGCCCTGTCCGTCACTGGAGCCACGCTGAGTTATGAGCTGTCTGTGGATGGTTGACGCTGTTCAATAAGTCTGTTGTCATTCTGGCATTGTCCTCCTTTAGCTAATGCTGCTAGTTAGCTAGCATCGGGACGTGTATTGGCGGCCCACGGTGTGCACTCGATGGCCGGTGACAGCCTCTGTAGTCCTTGAGGTGTTTTGACAGGACATGGGCATCTAGTGACAGACTGGCATCGACATGGACTAAAAGCTGAGCTGGTAAGACACCTGTCGTCTTCAGCATTCACTCATTAACACGGCTGTTGGTGTATTATCACATTGAATCCACTCTAGCTCATGTTGTTGTGCTACTTTGCTAGCAGCTAAGTTTGTTTTTGCTAGTCAGGTGTCTTCAAGTTTCTGAGTGTGCCAGCGTCGGATAAGTGAAGGCGGCCTTTTCTAAGCCACCGACTCTGTCACTCCTTCAGCTGTCATTGGACACGTTCAGCCTGCAACCAGACGGAACATTAGCTGTCATTACCTTCCACTGTAAAAATAAGTGTGGATTTATTTACCATTATAACCTGAGACTTTGAAGCCCTCAGTTTTCTATTAATGTTCCCAGTGCCAGTCTTATATGCAATGAGCAGAGTAAACTTCAATTAAAAAATTCAATTAATCAACAGACAAACAGTCTTTGAGTTATGTATTAAAAGTACTTCCAAGGCAACTGATGACTTTCCAATACCAGACACCAGTCAGCGTTGATCAGCTGCTCCAGATTGATAAGCTGTGTTCTGTGTTCGGCAGATATTGAACGCCTCTGCCGTGAGGCCTACAATCAAGAAAGTTGTGCACAGTCACAATTGCCTCCCAGACCTCGGAGTAGCTGTCGTCCTCCTCGATCCGTCAGGATGTTGGAGGGCCTGGTTGCCTGGGTGCTGAACACATACCTGGGCAAATATGTCAGCAACCTGAACACAGACCAGCTCTCCATTGCCCTCCTAAAAGGTAATCACCTGTGTTTTTGTTTTTCATTTCAAATGATAGTTTATTACTTCACAAAACCATGTTGCGGTGTACTAGATGTTTGAATGTGGTTTCCTTTCCCACTCCCCCTCATCTGTGTGAACTTTGCACTGAATGTTGTTTCTGCTTTCATTTTTGTGTTGTTGGTTTAGAGATTTATTTATTTTCCCCCTTCAGACTAACTCACATAGTTCAACTGTTTGATGCTAGAATTCACACAACTGGTGCTTTGAAAGGATAGATGGCATCACCGTCACAAACAAACCATCCCCACCGTGAAGCATGGTGGCGGCAGCATCATCATGTGGGGATGCTTTTTGGAAAGTGAAAATAGAAGTTAAAATGCTTGCAGCAAAATACAGGAGGACAGCCTGATGCAGTCTGAAAGAGAACTGTGACTTAGGAGGACGTTGGTTTTCCAGCAAGTAAACCAACCCCAAGAATACAGCCAAAGCTACACAGAATGGTTTAAAGACAATGAGGTGATTGTTCTGGCTGATTTTACTCATGATCCCAGCACAACCTGACAGGGCTCGAGGAAAGGAAAACAATTGCAGCGTCCAGATGTGCACGGGGTTGATGCTGTATTTGCATTCAAAGGTGCTTCTACTAAATACTGGCTCGAAGAAGGTTTTATATTTTTACTTAATCGACATCACTTTGTAGAAATCGGTTTTCACATTGACGTGAGTGTGTGTGTTTTTGGTAAATTCTTGTCAAAAATGTCAAACAAATTCTAATATATATAATATATATGGTCAGTTATATTGACTGTGTTGAAAAGCAAAAAAAAAGGGAGACTTTCAATGGCGTCGTAGAGAACTGCTGTACGACTGGACAGTGCTATCTGTGCTATCTGCTACTGAAACTGGACTGACGAGCTTCTGTGTTTATAAGGCTGCAGTTTGTGCTGCATGATTGTTTTACACCCCACAACTGGTAACTAAGAGTGAGTTACTGAAGGAAATGTGTTAAGACACATACAGTGCGTATTTCTAAAGGTTCCCCAAACCATCACACCACCACCATGTTTCACTGATGGTGTCATGGTCTTCTTGTGGAATGCAGTACTAGCTTTACACCAGATGTAACAGGACCCATATCTTCCAAAAAGTTCCACCTTTGACTCGTCAATCCACAGGATGTTATCCAAAAAGACTTGGTACTCATCTAGATATTTGTTTGCCAGATGAGCCTTTAATCCTCCCATGGATCCATTTCTGCCCCATGTCTTCCTTACTGTAGAATCATGTACACTGACCTAACTGAGGCAAGTGAGGCCTACAGCTATTCTGATGATTGTCTGAGTTCTTTTGGATGAGATGTTGACGCGCTCTTGGGGAAATGTTGGTCGGCTGGCCTCCTGGGAAGGTTCACCACTGTTCTCTGGAGTCCCAGAGCCTCAGCAGTGGCTTTGTAACCCTCTCTGATAAATGTCAGTGACTTTGTTTGACATCTGCTCTTGAATCTCTTGGCATCATGTGCTGCTTTTTGACATCCTTTAGCTGCTTCACATTGTGCCAGACAGGTTCTATGTCGTGATGTTTAGTTCAACGAGCCTGGCAGGTATCGTATGTGGGTGTTGGCTGGTGAAACTGAAGCCAACTGCCAAATGAATAAGGTCAGGTAGACTGGCAGCTAAGGGGGCAATTACCTTTCCATACAGGGCAAAGTGGGGCTGGACAGCACTTTTCGTTTACATGTGACAAATTGAAGGTATCTGTCGGGGGGCAAATACTTTGTCACAGCAAACCAACGGTGGGGTCTCTTATGCCATCGTTCAAAGACAGTGTAACAGAGTTATTACCGATTACAATAGCTGAATTGAAGCCATCAACACCTTCTGAAGCAAACTCTGTGTTTGTCTGTTTCCTGTTATTCCTCAGGTGCAGTGGAGCTGGAGAACCTCCCTCTGAGGAAAGATGCCCTCCGAGAGTTTGACCTGCCGTTTGAAGTCAAAGCAGGTGAGACACGCTGACCGATGATCTCAGAGTTTATACAGAACTCACAAAAATCTACCGAAATGGAATAAGGAGCTGATTTTACTGGCAAATTTACTGCATGAGTTGAGCTGAGCTGTGTGACTGTGTGCTCAAAGTGATGTGATCTGAAGTCACATTAGCCCCACTTTTACAGGCAATAGTATTGAGTTACTACATTTATTGTGTCGTGCGTAAAGTTAATTGAGAAAAAACAGTTTGTTTAAAAAAGCAAAGCAAGAGAAGAGTTGTGCAACAAGTTTTATGTGGATGGACTAACCCTGTGCTTTAGCGGTTGATAAGGAAAACATCTAATTTCAGATTACATTGTTAAATATGAATGTCTTTAGCTGAAGGCCAGCTCATCTGAATCACAAATATCAGACAGATTGGCCACAAATGAAAGGACAAACCGACACGTACAATGTTCAAAGATTCTGCTCCAGCACAAGCCTCCATAACAGAGTCCCTGTCATGGTCTCTGAGCTCGCCGGAGGAATGAACACCATTCTTTAGATGTCAGAGCTAATGTCAGCTCAGTGATTCTCTTCTGCCCGAATCAGGATTTTCCTGTCTGGCTACATGTTCTCTGACGTGCTGCTGATGGAGGATCATTCTTCAGTTTATTTTTTTTCTTCCTTCCCACTGTCGCCACGAGCTCGCTCAAAGGGATGCTTAGTTTTTTGTGGGTTTCTGTGCAAACATTTTGTAGCGTCTTCACCTTACTCTATGAAGTGCATTGAGATATTGGGGTCGCTGTGGCTCAGGTGGTAGAGCGAGGGTCATGGTCGTTGTGTCCTTGGGCAAGACACTTCTCCCACCTTGCCTGGTGTGAATGCGTATGAATGGATTGTTCGAGGTGGTGGTCTGAGGGGCCGTAGGTGCAGAATGGCAGCCACGCCTCTGTCAGCCTGCCCCGGGGCGGCTGTGGCTACAGTCGTAGCTACCACCACCCGAATGAATGTGTGTGAAGCGTCTTTGAGTGCCTGGAATTGGCGCAATATAAATAACACTGAATTGAATTGAGGGCTGCAAGGTGGCTCAGTGGTTAGCACTGTTGCCTCGCAGCAAGAAGGTCGCTGGTTCGCGTCCCGGTGGGGGCACCAGGATCTTTCTGTGTGGAGTCTCCATGTTCTCCCCGTGCAGCGTGGGTTCTCTCCGGCTTCCTCCCACAGTCCAGAAACATGTTGAGGTTAATTGTCCGTAGGTGTGAATGTGAGTGTGCTTGGTTGTCTGTCTCTAAGTGTAGCCCTGTGATAGACTGGTGACCTGTCCAGGTGAACCTGCCTTCACCCTGAGTCAGCTGGGATAGACTCCAGCCCCCCATGACCCTGGTGAGGATTAAGCGGTGTATAGATAATGGATGGATGGATGAACTCCCTGCTGGCCATTAGAAAGAATGCAGCTTCACCTGGGCTTCAGCTTTCAGACCCAGAGACTGCATTCTTCTTTTACGAACAGAACACGGTTACTGGTTTTTCAGCTTCAGGCTGTATTTCCTGTACTGTCAGTGGGTGGCTGTGGCTCAGGTGGTAGAGCGGGTGTCCTCTAATAGCAAGGTTGGTGGTTCGATCCACCGCCCCTCCACAGTGGTCCTTGGGCAAGACACTAAACCTGAAGTTGCTCCCAATGGCAGGCAGCACCTTGCATGGCAGCTTTGTCACCATTGGTGTACGAATGTCTGTGTGAATAGGTGAATGAGAAAACATTTTAAAGCCACATTGTACCACTAAAGAAGAAAAGCGCTATAGAAGTGCAAACCATTTACCATTTACCATTTACCATTTACCATTTATCATACATAATGTTATCTTTCCTTAGGCTTCATTGGAAAGATCACCCTCCAGATCCCTTTCTACCGGCCTCACAGTGACCCGTGGGTCATCTCCATGTCCCAGCTCAACCTCATCATCGGTCCGGCTCAGCTGCAGGAATACGACAGAGAGAAGGAGAGAGAGGAGGAGAGAGAACGCAAGCAACGCCTCCTCAAGGTTCTCGAAGACAAATTCAAGGTAGGTTTTTTTGTCCCACTGCTGGTGAAGGTAAAAAAAAAAAGAAAATCATGTCATGAACATTACAGCCTCACAGGAACTTTAATTTACTCCAAAAGTATGGAGGTGATGTCCCTCAAACAGTATTCTCTGGTGTTCTTACAATTAGTTTTATTGCAACACAAACAGCGCTGGTATGACATTGATCGACATATAAGCACCGTCAGATCAAACTAAAAAAAAAAAAGCAAGCCAAATACTCATGAGATGAAGAGCTGTGTCTAAATAATGGAGTTGAATTGTGTAACTTTGCCAGATTCAAGATTCAAGACCTTTTATTTGTCAAAAACACAATTATACACAGTGTAACACGCAGTGAAAAGTACTGAGAATGAGCACCTGTTCCAGACCGAAACAATAATAATAATTAGACGAAGAAGAATAAAGAATGAAAATACACAATAAATAAATAAATACACACACACACACATATATATATATATATGTATAGAAATAAGCAAAATAAATAAATGAAAGTGTCAAATAGTGCAACAAAGGATAGTGAACAGACATCTTGTCCTAGTCTGTGTTTGTAGCCCATTTTCTGTATGTTATTGTGTCTAACTGTTGTATGTTTGCCTTTGTACTTTGTGCTTTTGTTGACAGTGTATATAAACAAATGTTTGCCCTCACATATAATACGTACGGTATAACTTTGGCTCCTTCAGAGTGAGTGTGAGCAGAGAGGAGAGTCGTACTGGTACTCCGTCACCGCCTCGGTCGTCACCAGGATCGTGGAGAACATCGAGGTGAGACATCATTAGGTTCTACAGATGGACTACACCGTACACAACCCAGGTTTCATGTGTCAGTAATAGTAACAATACAGTGCTTCACACTTAAAAGAAAAATATGTACACGTCGTCAACATTTAAGAACAATACATTTTCCACGCCGTTGTCCTGACTGCGGTCGACCCTTCCAGAATAACGAGGTCGTTGTAATTGTTTGACGCTAGATTTCAGACTGAACTGTGATTTTCTTGCCTTCTGTGCGTAGCTGAACATTCAAGATGTGCACCTTCGATTTGAGGACGACTTCTCCAACCCGCAGAAGCCTTTTTCCTTTGGGGTTTGCATCAACAACGTGTCCGCTCAGAACCCGTCCAAAGAGTCGGTAAGTGTTGAAGCAACGTTAAAAAAAAAAAAAAAGCATTAAATGATGTTAGGGTGACATCACGATTCGTAATATTCACTAGAAAACATTTTGAAGTCCAACATATGATACTGTAGTTCAGATTCCTGTTTACAAGAGTCTGGCCAAAAGCTAGTGTGAGTTTGGTTCCCTCTTTTAAAAAAACAACTGCCTGCTTTGCTTTAATAGGTGTTATTGATTAGCCACAGAGAACAACAAAAAGCAACTCTTAAAACCTGTTGATTGAATAAAGAAAGAGCCGTCAGTTTGCTCCTCTGTCGTCGCCCACTGAAACTCTAAAAACATGTCAAACGCAGATTTGTAGCACAACAAGAACAGTTTTTTTCAAGCTCCTCATAAAGTGTCAGGCGTTTGGAGTCGCTCAGAAATGACTTTTTTTAGTTGTAGTTATTTGATCTTGCTGCTCTCTGTAATCACATACCCCATAAAGAGTAATCTAATCAGAGTCTGGATCCCCCCATCTGCATACATTTATATGTTAGAAAAGGTAACACCAACTTTCAGGTGATGGCAGCTATGAAACAAGCAAAGACAAATGTGTTGGTGTAAATCTTTCCAAATTGGCTTCATTAGGGGAGCAGACAGATTTTGGGGGGGGTTATGTTAATTTAAGAATGACTACAAATGAAAAACATCCCACTGACACCACAAATTTTACTGTAATACGTAGTGATGCAAGCTGAGACCGTGGCCAAGTTTTTAAATGTGGGAGGATTGATAAGTTCTGACGTTGCGGTTCTGTTACCTTAGAAAGTAAGAAGACCGTTGTGTCTCATCACCATAAAAGACAAGTGTCTGATGTTTGTGTGTCCATGATGCGCTTCAGCAAATCCTAAACGTTGTTCCGTCTGTTGCACCGACGCGTCCAGTAGAAGTTCAGGTAACCAGAGTTAACTAAACTCTACCCACACGGGTTAATAATTAAAAGCCTCCAGCTGTTTGTTTAACTGTGGCCGAGTTCATAAAGTCAGTCTGAAGTTCAGAGCATCATCTGAAGTGTCCATCAGTTTCACTTTCAGAGCGCAGAGCAGCAGGATTTAGTCATTTGGTGGCTGCACACAAACTGTCCTACTTTATTTCCTGTTTTTCTACTGAATGTTGGTGGTAGAAGAATTACTTAAATGGGTTTGTTTTTACTAAACTATTGAAGTCACACATTAGAAATGCTGTTTTAGATTTTTTTTAATACACAAAAGTGAAGCGTGAGAGAGGTTTTATCAGCACAGCGTACTGACATTTACCTGATATCTGATCAAGGTGCAGCTTTTACAATGCATAGTATTTTATTTTGTGAGTAAAACCCCGTCCACAGAGCTCCGATCATCCCATCAACGCAACATTAACATCTAAATAAAGTCTAATTTATATACAGTACGTATGAGAAAATTAAGCAATTTTCGTTCTGTTCTTAATTTGTTTATGCTTTTGTCTTTAAAAACAAAATTGTAAAACCCTTGTATTGATATATATTTATATTCAGAACTCCCACGTATGGTTTTCTTGTATTTGCAGGTCCAAAAGCTCCTTCGACAAAAGCAGCTGGAGATCGAAGCCTTCAGCGTCTACTGGGACACAGAGTGTGAAATGCTGGGAAAGCTGCCCGCTAATCAGATCCAGGTCAGTCATTCAGCGATCTTAAACACTTAGCAGACAGCCTGTTTGGAGTATTACAGCTGGGGTGTGCTCAAAGTTTCTTTTAAATAACATTTTAAACCTTTTAAATAACATTTGTCCTGCAGTAATAAAGGTTTCACTTGCTCCTTTGGAAGTTTTCCCACCTTTTTTTTTTTTCTTTTTTTTTGATCCACAGTCGATTTAATTAGACTTTTTTTGAATTTATATTAAAAAAAAGACTCTTTCATATCAAAGTGAATACATTTCTACCAAGTAATGTAAAATGTATAATATGTTCATGCACATAATGTAAATTGAAACATTATAAAAGGCTCATAAAGTCAGTTTTGGTACGTTTAATGTTCAGCCCTACCTTTTATAGGAAGATCTTTAGTCTGGCATTGTTTTGCTGACATTCCTTCATTTTGCATTTTTGCCTTCGTTAGACGGGTGCCATAGAGACAGACAGACAGACAGGGAATGTGAGAAACTAGAGCTGTTGAATGACATGAAGTGAAGGTCGGCTGGGAATAGAAATTGACATTAGCACCCATGTGATACGTCTCTTGGTTGTCATGTTGCCTCGGTCTGACCGCTCGTTTTGCAACTCCACAGGACGCGATGACCAAGTGCATGCAGAGCCGTGAGCATCAGTACATCTTTGAACCAGTGTGTGCCTCTGTGCTGCTGAGAAGAAACACCTCCAAGGAGCCGCTGAGATCCCGACAGACCCCACGGATCGAGGGCCAGGTTCAGCTGGAGCCCATGTCCTTACGCCTGTCACAGGTCCGTATGACAACGTCCTGAACTCCAGCTGATGAAACCACAAGACGTCTCTTGATTTGTGCTTTAACACTCGGGACTTCACTCCGGTTATGGCTGCTTTGGTTGATTGTTATCTTTGCACAAACATTCAGCTTTAAGTTATAAGAACTGTGCAGCAACTCAGTGGACAATAGATGAGGTGAATCAACCTGACAGCAGCCGACATGTTACACAAGCAGGAATAAAAAATGCTCCGTACTAAAACATTTGACAGATTTCTATTTCTATCGACCCCTGTGCAAATGTCAAGTGGACTTCTCTGGCCGACTATGAAGGACCAACATTGAAAAACACGTTCAAAACAACCATCAGCAGATCCCTGGATGATAGAAAAGCAGCTTCTTCAGAGATGTAGAATTTACTAGATGTATAAACCCAAGACTCCAATCAGCAAACATTGAGTCATTCAAGAAAAAGGGCCAAACAGACACCAAGATACGCTGAAATGACATTTTTCAGCAGTTCCACAAATTTTCACTTTGTTTTTAAGCCGATGTTTGCAGTGGAAAATTAAAAGGAATCTAAAATAGAAGACGATTCAATTGCAGCCTTAAAGCTTTGGACCGACTGTAACTGAAAAGACGTTGGTGTGCCAAGAACTCATGTGTGCGTGTGTTTTGTCTCTCAGGTCCAGTACCAACAGATCATGGCTTTTCTTAAAGAGCTGGACCGCCGAGAGCGAGAGATGCTCTACAGGAAGTGGAGACCCAAAGTACCGGTTTCTGGGAAGTAAGTTCACACTTCAGTGCAAACGTTTTTGTCATAACGGTCAGTTTCAGAACATTTGCAGACTTTTTTTGGACACCATAAACTGAGTCAACAGTCTTGTCTCTCGTCTTAAAGTCCTTCTGCGGTCGTTGATTAAAACTCTAAACTCTCATCTCCGTGTATCAGAGTCACACATTTAATAGTTTTCTTCATGAATGTGAAAACGTTTAGCCACCTGTGTTGACTACCTGTTTTTCTCAAAAGTCACACACTATACTTTGTTCATGTAATAAAACCTTGACATCGTGTTTACTCCTGTAACACCGTCCTCCCTGCAGCTGCCGCCAGTGGTGGGTCTTCGCCATCCAGGCCAACCTGAGTGAAATCAGGGAACAGCGGCGGCGAGGCAGCTGGGACTTCGCTCTGCAGCGGGCCCGAGATGCCCAGACCTACACCGACCTGTATTTTAGAAGACTCAAGAGAGCCACGCTGAGTCCTCAGGAAGAGGTACGTCACTGCAACATAGACAACACAAACGTCTGAGGAAAGGTCATGTCCTCAAGTAGAATCCAAACACTGAGTCGCAGTAACAAACACTGCCTTTAAGTGATGTTGTACTCCCTTCATTTTATTAATAGAACTCATAAAACATTCTCCCTTAGCATCGACAAGGATGGATTTCTGAGCTTTCCCGCCTGAAATTGTGTAGTTGAGATAAAATAAATATCTGACATCCCCTTAAATGATTCAAGAGAAGTGTTTATTGTTGTATGTACAGTATGGAACTATGAAATTCTCTCTTTGCTATCCACAACAAATACCAAACAACTACTTTGTCGTAGTGAGGGATGGCTATCGTTATGATGTTAACAGTACTTTACTTTGACCAAAATGCCTATTTCAGCACAGATAAAAGATAAAACCTCAGTGTCCAGCTTTACACCTCTCATGCTGCCATAATGGTTGTCTGCCTACATACAGCGTTCCAAACCCAAGTTTTTCTTTGTCCCACAGAGTGAGCTGGAGCGAGTGGAAGAGGAACAAACACTGGAGGAGCTGCAGAGTCTCCGAGAAATTGTCCACGACTGGTTTCGAAAGCACGAAGAGATCGCAGAGGTAAGCGTCAGTGATTCTCGAGCCGTTCAAAGGCGGATAAACGTAATACATTCCAATATGTTGTTGTTTTTTGTGTCCTATTCCAGACTTCTGTCTTAGGTTTAAAGTTGTCGTTTTGGAAGTTCACAATCAGCCCTCAAAGTTTCACTGATGTTTGTTTAAGTCAGTCTTCTTCCTCTTTCTCTTCTTCCAGTATGTGCGGGAGCCCACCACTGACCCCCCGCCCTGCTCTCCCACCGCTCCCATTCCAAAGAGTGGGAGCTCGGGGATGATCCAGTACCTGCAGTCTTGGTTCCCAGGCTGGGGAGGCTGGTACGGAGATTCCCAGAATCCAGAGGGGCCTGAAGAACTACTACCAAGTCCATCCTCGTGGGATATTCTAGGTGAGAAACAGGCGGCTCCTCTCTTTCACCAAACAAGGGCTGACAACAAATCGGAATCTTTAATCAGTTTGTAAGCTTTAGCAAAAGTTGCCACTACGAGATTGTTTTTTATTTCAGTTACATATTCTATTTGACTGGATAATTCCTATAAGTGACGGAATGAACCGCTAAGCCGTTGAATGACGTAATAATGACGATGCAATGCTTCTTCAGCAGAGACAGACGAGCTGTTCGACCCGTTGGAGGACTCGCACACTCTGAACACGTTCACCAGGCGAGATCACCTGTTCGCCCGGCTGGAGTTCTTGCTGGAGAAGGGCGGAGTCACGCTCTTCCACCAGGAGAGGAAGGGAGACACGCTGCACGAGAGCGGAGTCATCCAGCTGGAGTTCTCAGGTGAACGGATAGAGAAACACTGTTATGCAGGTTTTGTCAAAATGTGGGCAGTAGAGATGGAAACATGGATAAAACCCACTGGTGCAGTGTAGTATAGGTCACTTCATATCACTAATACATTTAAAAAATATATACACAGGAAAAGTAACCATGTTTCCTGCCTTACATGATAAGAATTTTTATCAAACTGACGTAAATAATCAAGATTTTGCACCTTTTGCTTGAAAGAATAACAGTTTTGATGCATCTGTTTTGGATCATCTTTGACAGGTGAAAGATGTTTTTTGTAATTTTCCTACATGTTGGTCAACTTAATTGTCAGCTATTTTGTCTATAAAGATTGGCAAATTTAGTATCTACTGCTTTTTCTGATATAACGTCTTATGGGTTGAGACGGTTTGTCAGTTTTTCAGTATTTTCTCACAGTGCGCACAGAACGACACATTTTATTTCAGTTATCAACGAAATAATTAAGCACAAAAATGATGATTAGTTGCAGCCTGATGAAAAACAAATGATGGACTTGTGTCAACACCGATGTGTTATTTCAGACTAAACATGAAAATGATAAGTTTACTTCGCTGCAGGTGTTTTTTTTTCCAGATAGACAGAAACGGTTGTTACCAGAGACTCAAAGCATGTGTGCTGTAGTTTAATCTACTGTATCGACATGTCCACAGGGGTGAAGGTGACAGTGGAGTCTCTGCCGCGCTCCGAGTCGTCCTTGCTGTCGGTCAAGCTGGGCAGTTTGTTCCTCAGAGACCTGACCACTCAGGGCACCATCTTCCCTGTCCTGGTGTCTCCCAAAACGGTAAGCAGTGATCAACAGACGTGGACAGAAGTAGTGATATTTCTGTTACTTTCTGCTGTATTTTATGTCACATGTTTTTAACAATTGTCTCTCGTTGACAGGACAAAGTTGTCACCGTCATTAACCATTCATCGAACCAGTCTTCCAGTACTTTCGGTAAGATTTTTTTTTTTTTTGATAATTAAGGATTTATTCATTTGACAGCATTTTTCAATTTCAACCATATTAAGTGTGTTTTTTACCTTGTGACCTTGGGCCTAATTACAGGAGGTGCATTTCCCAGAGGATATTTTTTTTGGTGCAAATTATTTCGTCCACTAAGCTCCTCTATTTGTCCCAGTGTTATAGTGCCATGCAAAAACATGCAATTTCCATGTTGTTGGAGAAATTTATACTATACTAGATAGATAGATAGATAGATCAAACCTTTATTGATCCCACAGCGGGGAAATTTTCAGACAGTTTTTGATGGTTTTGTAAGCTTGACATCTCTGTACAGTATGTTTTGTCTCTATGTCATGTTTGTTTTGTTTCTCCTTATCAGGATGCAACACTGAGTGCTCGTCATTCCCAGTCTTTGAGATGATATACGAGCGAAACCCCATCAGGTGTAAGTTTGAGAGAAGGCTGGAAGTGAACACGAGTCCATTAAACATCATCTACAACCCACAAGCAATCAAAAAAGTGACCGAGTTCTTCTACAAAGGAAGAGTTCACACTTCAGGTAAGTACTGAAACTTGGCGCTCATTTCTGGTGTGTATACATTCCGTTCCGAAAATGTCCATTTTAACTATTGAAACTCCACTTTACAAGAGGATTTTTGAAAACATATTTTTTTCTACACTTCTGCAAAGATGCATCAATGCTGGTGCTCGGATTCAGTCCAAGCAACACATTTAAATGAATAAAAAAATGTATTCAAACAGTTAAGAAGAGTAATGGACCAAAGTTGCCTTAAGTAAGCAAGCAAGCTAACAAAATGTGATCAATCAATCACCGTCTTCTGCTGAGCAGAACCAGACCGATCCTATCGCATAATCAACTTAACAGTTGGCTCACTCAGAAATACATGGGCTTCACTGTATTAATTAGCACCTCTGCCTCCATTATAGTGTATTCCATTGTAAGAAATGTTATTCTTGGAGCTTGCTAGCTTAATTGAAACACTAGAGCGATTTTAGGTCTTGCCATACTGTAGATCATTTTAAAATAAATGGTTCACATTACACTTTATACCGACAAGACAGCATCATTACAGCAAAGCACTGCGAAGAACTGCTATTCACGTTACTCACACATCTTCCATGTTACTTTAAACCATGTAGAACTAGTGTATTTTCTCGTTTGCTTGTTATGCTTTTCAATAACATCACTTTACTGTACTCCATTCATATTTCTTTGATGCCCAGGTTTTGGCTATCAGTCAGAGCTGGAGCTGAGAGTGGCAGAGGCTGCCAGGAGGCAGTACAACAAGCTGAAGATGCAGACGAAGGCAGAGATCCGACAGACCATTGATCAGCTACTTGTGGGAGAATTTATTGTAAGCGAGGTTTTCCCCATAGTGGCATGAAACAGTTGACTGTATAATTAATTCTAAGTACCACTGATTTGTTTGCCTTGTAGGAAAACAGTAAACGTTGGACCATGAAATTGGACATCTGTGCACCCCAGGTGATTTTCCCTGATGACTTCCAGTCAGTGGACCCAATGCTAGTTGTTGTTGATTTAGGCAGGATCCTTCTGACAAACTCTCAAGGTAAAACAAACTATTGTAACACATTTATATGTAGCCAGATATCTACATTCTTTTGCCTAATGATGTTTCTTACTCATTTTTATTGATTTCTTTTAAGATGACACTAAAACCGACTCAAAAGCGACTCAACCTGAAAGGGAAGACATCAGCGATGATGAGTACCAGACTCCCCTCGCCACTCCGCCAGAGTCACCGCCAAATGAACTCGACATGCCTTTGAAAGCACAGCAAAAAAGTCCTGAACTTCCCAGCCTCGCATCCCCGGAAGGCACGCAGGCCTACAGCAGAAGGCTGTATGAAAAATACTCCTTGTCGTTTAAGGACTTGCAGATAATGGTTGGCCGCTGTAAGGACAACTGGAAACATCTTCAAGAGAGTGAGGTGGGGCCTACACATGTGGTGGAGAAGTTTAATGTGCTGCTGCAGCTTGAGCAGAGGCTGCGCTACACATCGGACCCCCAGCTCCCCGGGGCTGTGCTGTCAGGAACTCTTCCAGACCTCAAGGTCCATATCAACCTTGAGAAGATGACCGCCCTCAGGAATTGTCTAGCTAGGCTAAGCAGTCCAGCTTCAAGTGAAGGAGACAAAGGCCAGGAGGGAGGTCTGCCCCTGAGGTCTCCGGATCCTCCCACCCTCCGCCATGACAAGATCTTTCAGAGAGAGGACAGCTCCTGGAAGTTGCAGGGTTCAGCCAAGAATCTCACCCAGAGTGTGATGACACTGGAGCAGCACACACGGGAAGTCCTGGTGGAGTCTCGCCTACTGTTAGCTGAATTCAACATTAACTACATGCAGCTCGGTGTGGAGAGCGATGGGCGCTACATATCAGTTCTCAAGGTATTTGGCACAAATGCAAATTTTGTAAAGCGGCCTTATGATGCTGAAGTCTCTCTGACTGTCCATGGTCTTCTTCTGGTGGACACCTTACAGACCTATGGCTCAGACTTTGACCTCCTTGTGGCTTCTCATAAGCATCTCAGTTTTGACATACCCACGGGTAGTCTCAGAGAGAGCCAGCCGACGTCTCCTGTATCGTCTGATGGCAGATCTCCTGAGCACCAGGGCAGCCGCACTGAGCCGTCCCCCGGTCTGCCCATAGATAGAATATCCCCCTTCAGTTCCATTCTCAACGAGCAAGATGCTCTAATTAAGCTTGAGTACCAGTTTGTGAGCTCCGACTGCCCTTCCAGGAACCTGGACAGCTCCCTTCAGGTTACCAGCATGCAGGTCAATAACTTGGACATCATTCTCAACCCTGAGACTATGGTGGAGTTGCTGAAATTCCTCCAGAAGTCATTCCCCAAAGAAGAAAGCACCTGGGCATCAACAGCGCAACAACATACAACAGCGCCCTACAGTGAGGAACAGGATGGAACATTTCAGGCCACCTATGACCAGAACAAAGAACTGACTGTGGAGATCCACCGCCTTAACCTGCTTCTCCTTCGGACTGTGTCCACCGGCACTGTTCTGGGTGCTGAGAAGAAAGGGTTGAAGATTGCCACTGCCAGCATTACTGGAACCAAGGTCAATGTGTCCATGGGCAGTCGACTGGACATTAATGGTTCACTAGGATCAATGCAGTTGGTGGACCTTACCCAGGAGGGAGGCCGAAGCCAGTTTGTGGTTAGCATTGGCAGTGATGAGGACACCTCCTCAGGACTTGGCAACTTAACATTCCTTAGTGATATAGGATGTTCTCCCTCAGAAGCTTTAAACTTTCGCCTTATGGAGAAATCACAAGGGGAGTGTTCCTTGAAACTGCAAATGGCATCTCTGCACTACAACCACTCAGCCAAGTTCCTGAAGGAGCTGAGTCTGTCGGCCAACGAGGTCGAAGACAACTTTCGCACCATGTTGAAAAGTGCCGCCACCAAAGTGTCAACAGTTCTGGCCACCAAGACAGCAGAGTACAGTGGAATGGTTTCGCTCTTTGAGACTCCCTCACGGAGAACCAGAACGCTGAGTCAGAGCTGGGGTTATCCATTTGAGGATGAGGAGGATGTTCCTGTGGAGGAACCGGAATCCACCTTGGACACGTTCTTGGTGAAGCTGACCCTCAATATCAGCATTGAATCACCAGTTGTGTCTATTCCCCGCAAACCTGGACACCCTGAGCTATTGGTTGGCCACTTGGGAAGCATAACAATACAGAATTTTGTTAGTGGGCAAGACTCGGAACGAGAGAGGTTGCAGGTGTTGGTGAGGGATATACGGCTGTATTCACTCAACATGAGTCATTTGGTTTTGAAGAGGGGACCTCGAGTGGATATCTCTGGCAACATGTCGGCCTCCTGCAATGGAAGCATCAATCAGGATGAACCGCAGTTCACACGTCGTGACTTCTTTGAATCCCTCAACCGCGGAAAAGGTGAGAATGTTACAAATGGATTATGTACATCGTAAAACAAATAATTGAAGCATGCAGCTTATGACACAAGTTCACACCATTGATTCTCTTCATCAGCCTTCCACATACTGAAGGACACCACTATAAAGTTCACTCTGGAGAAAATTCCTGTTGACGAAGACACCCGGTTCAACTTCCTCACGACGGAGGAGCCTTGCAAGAGCACAGGGATACTGAGAGTTGAGGGCAAATTCGTCAACCCTGTTCAGGTATACGCTGTGTTTATCCTGTAAATTCTTAATTATGAGCCACTATTCAAACAAATGGCTGTCAAATAATGCTCACCCCTTTGCTGGTTTTAGTTACGCTTTTTCATCATAATTACTGTGTTTTTTGTAAGTGCATTGTATCGTAGGTGTTGAACGTCCTTTACACTAAGACCCTGTTTACACGTAGCAAAAACGGTGATATTTCAGTGCGTTTGGGCCTTTGGTTTACATGTAGACCAGCTTCAAGTCACCGAAAAGGATCATATTTGAAAACTGTGGCCACAGTGGAGATTTGGAAAAGCTCTGTCTTTATGTTTGCATGTAGACAGGAGGTGATGGAGTTTCTGATTGGCTGGCATGGCTTTATGTTTCTGGTTACACTGCCCCCTATAGGTTGGGCATGCTCATAGCAGCTCTTAATGACGTGTTTATGCAGGTTTGTGTAAACAAAGATTTTTTTTAAAACAATCTAGTGTAAACAGTTATTTTTGAAAACATAGATCCATTTTTGTAAAATGTGCTATGTGTAAACGTGGCCTAGCACTGAACCGAAAACGCTAAAAATATAAAAATGAGTATAATTTAGTAATTGAAAACAGTACATCCTTTAAGAAGAGAAATTTTTGGCGACACTCTGTGATTATAGCCGGACTGCACATAGACATGGATAAAATGTCAACAACATACAATATAATGTTTAAGATAAAGGCCTGGTTTACTCTGCAGTCCCTTTAATAAACAAAACCCATGAAAATGACAGTTTTTAAAGACCCCACACACCCACTGGAAAGTCACACTGGTGATTTTAATTATTTTGGCTCATGTCAGCATCACATGGTTGTATATGTAGGTGGACTGACATCCACCTCTTTCTCCTGTTATTTTATTACTAAGGCAGGATGGATTACACCTTTATCATTCTTATTATTTTATCATGTAATTCCCGCACAGTTTTACCACCTTGAGTATGAGCAGAGGTCTACCCAGGTTGGATAAATGAAAACATCCGTGTGGCTGTGCAGGACTTTTATATTAAATTTTTGTGTGTTGTTACTTGCTGATGAGTTGCACAGCTAATTGTATGACTTTCTTACTGTCTACTGATAGGTGTTCCTGTGCAAGCCGGTGTATGAACAAGTCCTCCAGACTCTGGACAACTTGTCCCTGATTGAAGAGCAACGTGTCACGCCCAGCCAACCGCCCACGCCCCCGCCACCGACTCCCTCCTCCACCAGACCGCACCGTTTCCCCGACCCCCAGGGAGGACTGTTCGCAAGGGACCCTCCCCATATTAGCTTCTGTCACTCGTCACTGTCTTCTCCTTTGCCTCTACAGTCTCACAAGCCGGCTCTTTGCCCTCCCTCCTTCACTCAGCTAAAAGTCACCTTACATGTGGCAGAATTGCACATCCAGCTCATCGCTGACCTCAGCCAGGGCTCCCAGGGCTTAGTCAGTCTGCGCTTCCAAGATTTAGAGGGAGACTTTACCAAAGATCACCCACAGTTACTGGCGGTCCAGCTGGCTCTGCGGTCTCTGCTCATGGAAGACCTCCTGGAGCAGAACCCTGAGTCCAAGTACAAACATTTGATGGTGTCTCGGGGAGCCCCCAAGCCCTCCACCCTGAGTCCAAAGGAGTACCTTTCCCAAAGCTGTCCATCGGCATCTAATGCTCTGTACCCCGACATGCCCCGCTCACTGCCCGCCCACATGGAGGAGGCCCAGAACGTCTTCAAGCTCTACCAGAGGCATTCCAGCACACCCTCAAGCAGTCGCAAATCCAAGAGGGACCCGGCCTGTCCCAGCACTCCTCCTCCCTCCCCTACCCGCCATACGCCCTCTCCTCATCCACCCCCGGACTTTGACGACTCGTTAGTTCATATCAACGTGCTGCTGGTCGACCAGACCCACCCGGAGTTCAAAACGCGCTATGGCGGTGTGGGACGGAGCGTGGATGTGGACTTTAACTGCCTGGATGTTTTGATAACGCTGCAGACCTGGGTGGTTATTCTGGATTTTTTTGGTATCGGCTCCACGGCCAATAATCACGCAGTGAAGGTACCAATGTCACCCCAACCTGTGCCGGGACATCCTCTGTTTGAGCCAGACAACAGCGAAGAGGACGTGACAGAGCCTGTCAACACGAAATTTGACCTGAAGGTAGGTCTGCATGTGGGTTTTGGCAGTTGAAGCAAATGTGTTGTGTGGAAAAAAATCATTATTTACTGACTTTAGTTGCATTTCTCTGGTCTTGGAAGAGTCATACTGTTGGTTTGTCCATCACGCAACTCCCATGGCTTGACAACTATTGACTGGGTCGTCATTAAATTCTTTTTCAACGTCAGTTACGGTTCCCAGTTGAGTTTTATTTTATTATCCTGGATGAGAAACTTGGCTTGCAGTCATGGGTGCAAGATATAAAGGAACAAAACCAAATGTTATGACGTACAGAAGGTTATCTGCACACACAATGTATAATACAGTAATGCAACAGAACTAAATTAAGCAGGAGCACAAAATTTGCACACGAAACAGAAAATCCTTTACTTATATTTCACCAGGGGCACTCAGTACTCTGGTGTGTAGGAAAATTTCCATTAGTCTTTCACCCCTATAGCCAGGTTGGACGACCGATTAGCACATCAGGATCTTTTCACAAAGACCATTGGATCATATCATAGAACTATTCTAACATCTGGCCTGTGGACAGAGTTTGAAACTTAAAGTGAAGACGGCGGTTTATCAGTCTAATTTAGACATGGCCTTGCTGAACATCTGCTGATCAAAGATAATGGGGTCTGTGGGACACCTGCCCCCTTACCAGCCCCCTTCACAATATAACTGAGACGTTTTTTGCTCCTGCCGTTCACGTTACCCCACCAGGCAGTATTCCAGAACAGATGTTATAAAATATACCACTGGTAATACAACACCAACTGCTGTGGCTGATCATGTGTCATTCTAATCTTTACTCTGTTTCTGCCAGTCTTTGTGCTCTGAAGTGAATGCTGTTCTTTCACTTCCACGCTGTCCATGCTTTCATTTTAGGTCCATTCTTTGACTCTTGTGCTGAACAAGAAACTCAACGAGCTGGCCAGAGCTAGTGTGTCCAAATTATCTGCTCATCTGGAAATGTTGGGTGTGTATAAAAAAAAAATAAAAAATTAATCTTGTAGTACTTTCAATTTGGTTGACTCATCAAATATAATTAAAGGTTTAATATAGTTACGTTCTGTGCAATATTTCAGATGGCGACCTGGCATTACAAGGCAGTCTAGGAAGTTTGTCCCTGAGTGACCTGACCCCACACGGTGACCTCTACAGAGAGCGCTTCACCACGCAAGGAGGGGAGGCCCTTATTTTCAACATCATAAAGTACGTATCGCATAAGTTTTAGCAGTTACTCTGCACAGTACAGAAAGACTTGGAAGGGTTTGGTCTGTTTTTAGTCACTTTTGTGTTCCGGTCCATTCAGGTTCGGCCAGCCCGATCCTTACCTGCAGCGGGAATGCGACATCAAGGTGTCTTTGCAGATGGCCTCGGTACAGTACGTCCACACCCAGCGCTTCCAGGCTGAGGTGGTAGCCTTCATTCAACACTTCACGCAGCTGCAGGATGTGCTTGGCAGGCAGAGAGCGGCGATGGAGGGCCAAGCTGTGAGTGCTCGGGGTCCTTGGATGGACTCAGACATGCACGATAATTCCACTTTGCACCAAGATGAGATCTATAGGTTGTAGTGGTTGATTCAGATAGCATCCTCTTTATTATCCAGTCATTTCTTCCGCACCATGTTTCTGCCTGCAGGTGCGGGATCATCCTCAGCGGGCGTCCAGGGTTCTGCTCGACGTCCAGGCCGGCGCTCCGGTTATTCTCATCCCAGAGAGCTCGCGGTCATCGAGGGTGATCGTGGCCAACCTCGGCCAGCTGAGGGTGCAAAACTGTTTCCTGCCCGCTGGGGCTCATGGGACCTTTTCCCTCCGAGACAAGGTAGAGAAACTCACCATGGCACATGCCTTTTTCCCTTCTCTGGTGAGTCACTTGGCAAGCTCACGCACTCATGCGGTGTGCGCCCCGACTGCCCGCTCTCTTCTTCTTTTGTCTAATTTGACTGTATTCATTTACGCATTTAATAGTCAAAATTACAAAGCTGTCGCTGCTCGTCACACGCTCACTGAAAGAGGACCGACACTTTCTCTTTACCATTTTGATAACTGACCTTCTTATCGGAATCTGATCTCAAATCTTAAATGAATACAGCATTGCCTGGTGTTTTACTGAAGATTCTAAAGTATGGATCTAAAACTCAACCTGGCCCGTGTCTCTAATTGTGTTTGGTTTTTGTTTGTCAACTTATTTATTTACACCACTTTTCAATGCAGTGCCTATAAAAGTATTTACCACCCCTTTGAGGGTTTTGCTCCTTTTATAACTTTTTAACATCGACTCGTAGTAAATTTATTATGGCTTCATTCTCAATTCAATTTAGAGTTTGTGACTGGATGTAAAACAGGCTCACTCTTGACTCCTGTGCAACCTCACAGATCGTGAACCGTTCTGCAAAGAAGAAAACGGTAAAAATGCAGCATCCAGAATGTACAAGGCTGACTTATATCTATCCTCACAGGCTTAGTTCTTTAATCCTGGAACAAGATGCATCTGCTATATACTGACTAGACGGGGGTTGAATATTTATGCAATTACTTATTTTACAGAATATATTTTTTAAATAATTTGACATTACTTTGTAGAAATCTGTTTTCTCTTTGATATGAAAGAGTCTTTTTTTGGTAAATTCATTAAAAAGTCCCCAAAAGTCAAATTGTATTGACTATGATTTGCAATAAAGTATTGGAACACTTCAAATGGGGGTAAATAATATTTGTAGGCACTGCATCACTTAAATGTCAACTGATTCAAAAGTAGTTGCGTTGATTTTAACTGCAGCTCAATGCAAAAAAAGTGAACAAACCTGTGATCACTGACACAAGTGATACTGAAACTAAACTGAGATGTGTTACCCTCATTTGTGCAAATTCAGCTGCAATACTTAAAAAAAAATCAGAAGGATTCTTTGAAAGTAATACAATAACATAATCACATCATTTTTTTCCCTCATTCTACTCATAATCAAAGAGATTGTCTAAAATAGACAGTGTAAGATGTTCAGCTTGAAAAGCCCGGTGCTGACTCGGCTAACTCTGCTCAGGATACAGTTTTGGGGGTTTGGGCTCAAGGATATGGCTCCAGCGCTGCAACGTGCCATTGTTTGTTTAGGAAATGTTTTGGAAGGAGAACGCTATTTAAATGTCTAACTGGTCTTTGTTTTTGTGAAGAATTTCATACTGCATGCAAATTCATACAAGGATCCGTCCCACTACAAGGTACCACGGCATGCTTTGGCTTTGGCTTTGGCGTGAAAGGGTTGCTGTGGTTTTACCTTCAACTTTGACCCCACACCTCGTTTAACTAAAAAACTACATCAGTAACTCACTATAGACAGCTGGCTGGTAACCGTATATGCCAGTGACTTATTTGACACGGACACATAACTGTGTTTGTGTGACTGTAACGTCCAGCCGTGGTTTTGCTGTTTGCCTGTTTGAGGCTGGTTATGTATCAGACTAAGCTTTCTGCCAGTACAGGTGTTGCATGTGTTGTTCAAAGGAATACACCAACTTTCTAAGTTCCTTGATCATGTTTGCGTTGTATGATTAGGTGAAGCAATACAATTTAAGGGTTTAGACATGAGACACTTTTTAGAAAGGGGCGGAATTGTTGAGTGAATGACTTCCCAACATTTTCACTGGTAGCACTGGTTCCACCAACTTTCACTTAATCACACCACTGATGTATACACAACCATGCTAAATCTGGTTCCACATTGCTTCGATCAAGTGGTTGTATGCCAGTTCATTCAGACACAGCAACTTTTTTTTTCATTTTCTCGCTCAAAATGCTGATGTCATTGTTCCCACTTTCTGTTTGACAACATCCAGGCAGAGGCGGTTTCCAGCCCCAGCTAGTGGCGGATGACAGCTTAACGTCTTCGACAGAACAGCTGCCAACATTGTACATGATTAAAATATTAAGAATCAGTTAAACTGGGTCGTATTTCTGACTCATCCCTCCCCTCGCTATCTATACTGATCAGAGAACTTAGCGGCAAAAGTTGGTGTGTTGTTCGTACACAGTTTGAAATTGAAATACAAACATGAATTTTTTTTGACTGCCATTTAGAAAGTCTGTACTTTCCCATCGTTTGACTCGATGGAGATTCAACACAATTCCTTTTTAAAAATGTGGATCTAGAGTTTGAGGTGCAAATGTTAGAAAAGACAAGGTCTTCCGTGGTGTTTCCTGGATCGAGGACGAAAAGCATAATGTCATTTAGTTGTTGCTTTGTAAATGAGACTTTAAAATATTTCAGTGTTGTTTTAGAACGGTTATCCACTATGAACACAGTGAAAATGCTTTTTGTTTTTTCATCCCCCTTCTATTCATCCATCCATCTATCCATGGATTGATCTTTACAGTGTAAAAACATCAAAAAAATCCTATTCTGTTTATTTTGTGGTTTGACAGTTTTAAAAAAGTAATGTTCTTGCTTTTGTGTACCTGTTTATCATAATATGTCTAACTGGGCTTTATGTTCAACTGTGTGTGTCTTCTCTTTCCTTTCTGTTGAAATAGGACCGTGTCCGTAGCGCAGCAGGGATGAACAGCGACCAGGAGAAGCCGAGAAACTTTTCGGGCGGCTCGTCTTCATCCACCGGCTTCACACTCGGCAGACCGCACGCCGCAGGAAGGATCCCTGAAGAGGACGACCCTCAAAACTTAGGTTAGCACTGCTGCACAGTTTGAAAGAGCGAGGAAAGCGATACGGTATCGTTCTGCATGCTGAGGGGGAGCTAAAATATTAGCAATTACAATATTTCAAGTTTACTTTGTTCAGTTTTCAGAACTAAACCACAAAGATCACCTCGAAAGATTCTCTTAACAAAATGTAGCCAAGACAGTTCCAGAAAAAGCCAGAATGACTTTTGCCATTTCTACTCCCTCCACCATGTTTTGCAAACCAAATAGTAATCTTTAAAATAGCTGTTCATGTGTGCTACTGTCCCCCAACAGAAGACCATGTGTGCCTGCTGGACTGCATCTCCCTGGACCTGCAGGAGATGGACATCTTTGCTGCAAAGCGTCTCCCCTGGGAGAGCGGCAGTAAAGCTCCCGAGTCTTCAGACCTCATCTTCCCGTCGTACTCCGTTCGTCGCACCGGAGACAACCTGCTGAAAGACTGCTGCCGCCTCAAGCTTAAAGTGGAGCGCAACCTGGACAAGTACGTCCTGGTTTTTATTGTGCTGATGGCAAAAGTCAGCATGTTTTTACAGTAAACTCACGTTAAGGATTCACTCGTCTCAGGCTCTCTTGTCCGTCTGTTTTTTAAATGTCATGCTGGGATCTTTGTGCTGGCAGCACGCAAGCCATTTTTTCTTTTTAACAAAGATAAATGAGCCTCTTTTTCTCGATTAATCTTTATTTACAGATGCATGAAATATTCCTGAATGTAGAGATGTCATAACTGTCTTTATGGACTTTAAGGAGTGGAGCAGGTCAGAATATTTAATATAAATGAATTAAACCGTTACAACAGCTTTGTCCAGCTGTGTGGCTTTAAGGCAAAAAAAAAAAAACATTCCATGCAAACAAATCAAACCCATACAGCCACTCTCTCAAAAAAGAAAAAAGAGCAGACAAAAAAACATCACAACAGTGGGGCACACTGTAGAACTGCTGCTTTCACTGGTCTAAATGGCAAACAGTCTTTATATCAGGTGATAATATGTCCTCAACTCTATCGCTTGTTCCTTTGGTGGGTCAGAAAAATATTAAAGAAATATTTGGTTGCATACACATTATAGGGACCAAAATAACTTAAACTGTCTCAAGTGCTTATTGCATGAATGAATGAAACTGCAACAAACAAAACATGGATTTCATCTCCACTTGTCCGTGATTGCACCGAGTTAGTATTATAAACTAATGGCATGATATTGAAACACCGTGCTCGCTCATTAAGACGCTTTTTTTTCTTCTTTTTCCTTCAAACATCTGCAACTTACTAATGCAAATGATGAAAAAAACCCAAAACAAACACATGTTGGATTCTTTAGCTCTTGCTGAAGCTGGATCAAGCAGCACGATAACGTGGCTTAAACCTAACAGTGGCTCGCTCAAGCAGGCTGCTACAGACTTTAGTGCACCAGACTTGTAATTGTTATGCTTAATTTCATGCTTAATTAATCTGGTTTGAAACTGCAGCATCTAAATTACATAAATAATAGTGTCGGCTTATGCAGAGCAGATGCTCCAATTAAGACTGTTATTTTGTAAGAAAACAGGAGGTATGACTTTATCCATTTGTCGTTATATGACCGTACTCACAATCCACACTTGCTGTCGTCAGGGAGCTGAGCCACGCGGTGCCTGACATGTCCATCCACGGCAGCCTGTCGTCGGTGCACTGCTCTCTGGACATGGAGCACTACCAGCTGATCCGAGGGCTGCTGGAGAACAACCTGGGAGAGCCTATCGAAGAGTTCCTCCGACCCTTCAACCTGCAGGACCCCAGCACATATGTGAGGAAGCAGGAACTCACACATGCACATATTTGTAGAACATCGTATCTCTGTCATTAAATCTGTTTGACTTGACAGCTCGCAGTATGTGATAGACTTAAAATACTTTATATGCTTCTGTTCATTGTGGATTGTCCATGTCATCATTTAACACATATTTTGTACTCCATTATGTATTTTCTATATTTATTCTAGTTAATGTATTGATGGTTTCTCTCTCCAGACGGTGTTAAGCGGAGAAGTCTACACCAGCTTGTCGTTCCTAGTCGACATGATGAATGTCAGCCTGGAACTCCTGGACAGTCCCAAACTGACTGAACACAAACGCTCATTAGCAAGGTGACCCTTTTCTCACTTTTAACAGCCCTGGAAAGTACAGTTTTCTATTTTTTTTCCTCCCCCAACAAATCTGCAAATACAGTCGTGAGCAAAAGTTTACATACACTTGAGTTTCCAACGACTCCTTTATCTTTTTCTGATGGAATTACTGAAACACATGCGTCACATAAAAGCAAACTTGCATTTTGGTTCTTTCATAGGTTTATTGTAGGTCTTCTGGAAGTATTACAAAACCCACTGTGTTAAAAAATATTCATAACGCAGCGCTAATATTTGGTTAAATATCTCCTCACACTGAAGTTGCATTAAGGCAGCCCTGCTAGTTGTTATGGTGGATTTGTCTATTTCAATCACTATACTTGTCTCGCTGCGTGCAAATGTTTCATCCATCACTATTTTGCGGGAACACTGAAGCTGCATCCTTCAATTGCCCATTGGACTGTGATTGGTTTAAAGAAATGCAAACAAGCCAGAGTGTTTTCTTCACCTATGGCAGAATAATAGTGAGTTGTAGCCAGACGATTATGGCAAAGCTAGACTAAATTTCGACTAAAGTACCAAAAAATAGCCTTGTGCTACCTCGTTTGAATTAACCTCTCCTTCCAGTTGTGCACCATGAGCTCTTCCTCTGCCGCTAAAATACCACAAGGATGCACGTGGCAAGATTCATTGTCAGGAAATGTCCTGAAGGAGCAGAGCTTCTGCTTGTGGTTGAACCCCCAAGTGTGTAATTAGTGCGATGAGAGAGGAGTAACTTAATGGAAAAATGCTTTATGCGTGCACACAAAACCACACCTGGAGCAAATATGGGTCAAATCATACATATTGCTGCTAAAATCTCACCTTGTCTTGCCCTAAAATGTATTTTTATACTGTTTTAAACGATACAAAAGTCAGCAGGTTGGCTTATCTTTTAGATTGATAGAAAGCCAAATCAAAGGTGATATCCAAGAAAGAGTAAGGTTCTATTTATGGCCCAATGTCTACTTAACTGACATGTCTGAAAGTGAAACATGATGGTGGACAACAGGGTAGGGGTGCGGAGGTTGTTTATTCATGTATGGAACAGCAGAAAAACTGTCATCATTACTAGACTTTGCACAGAAATTGGACATTATCTGTCTCCTTGGGGTTTATCATGCACTGGTTGCAAGTCGTCCCTTTGTGTGAGGCATAGTCTGTAAATTCAGTAGCTCTGTCGTGTCATAGTTTAGGGTTTTTAAAGTAGACGTTTATTTACAACGCAGTCGAAACACTATTTTAACCTGTCGTTTTAACTTTCCTCTCAAAGGTTTGACTTCATGAAATCCAAGCTGCTTTTTGAAAGTTTCTCAAATGGATCAAAGTCCATCAACCTGGTTTCTCACTCCCTGCTGGCGTACGACACCCGGTACTCCGGGCCGAGCGAAGGCGCCGCCAGACGCGACGGGGCACGGTGCAACGTGTTCGACTGCATAATCCAGCCCTCCAAGACCGGCACTAACCGGGCGTCCCTGCAGCTGGAGTTGCATTATAGGTAAGGTTTGAGAACGCTCAGATCCATGGAGCATCTCCAAATGTAGAAAACAAATAAAGGTACGGAGTCCAGAGTTGTTAACGACAGATCTGCTCCCCGTCCCTCCAGATCCACGCGTGACTCCTCCTGCTTCACGGTGGTCCTCAACAACCTCAGGGTCTTCCTCATTTTCGACTGGCTCCAGCTGGTGCGAGACTTCCTGCGCATGCCGGCTGAGAAGGCATCAGGTGGCACTCAGACTTACCAGCGCTGGCCCAGTAACAGCAGCACCGACTCGGGCGCCGGTGCCGCCACCTGCACCTCCGGGGCCGTCATGCCCAAGACGGTCAAGAGTGGAGTCGTCACCAAGAGGTCCACGGTGCCAGTGACCCAGGACCGCTGCCTGGAGGTCAAGATCAACGTCACAGGTCGGAACAAGATGATCAGATTGAAATATAGGGAAAGTGTGCTTGTTATAAGAAGCCAGAGTGAAGCTGCCCAGATATATATACTGCTAAAGCTGCAGTCAATACTGTTGCAGCCTTCTCTAGCAAAAACACAGGATCAACCTATCATTCGCTTAGCAACACCTTAGCAACACCACTTTGTTACCACCAGGCATCCATCCTCCCAGATACTTAACCAAACGCAGTAGCAATGACTTAACAACCACCTTAAGCGCTGCACAGTCCCATGTGCCATAGTATAAAAGTTTATGTAAGATTCAAACTAAATTAAAGCCACAAGCAG